CAAAAAAAAATAGACTCTAGTTGCGTAGTTGAACCTGTAATTGAAGACATGGATAGTGAACTTGAAGAGATTTTTTGGCAGTCAGATGAACAAGTACAGTTATTAACAAGGTTTAGTGATGTTTGTTTATTGGATATAACTTGCAAGACTAATTGATATTGCTAACTATTAGCTCTGGTAATTGTAGTTGATAATAACACTAGAAGTAGATTGGTTGCTCAGGCACTATTGCTAGATGAATCTATAGACTCTTTTAATTGGCTCTTTACATGTCTCAAAAAAAGAAATCTAGAATATGAGCCTGGTGTTATTTTTTCAGATTCTGATCCTGCAATAACTGCAGCGATTGCTAAGACATTTACAACAACTTACTACCACCTTTGTATATTTCATATTAATAATAATGTAAAAAAAAAGGCATAGTCAAAACTTGGTGAACAATATAATCAGTTTATGAATAACTTTTATGCTGCACGAAATTCATTACAAGAAGCTGTATTTGAATACCGATATGAACATTTAATTAAAACTTACCCAGCTATAGAAAGTTATTTACATAAACTTTACCAATCAAAGCAAAGTTGGGCTTGTTGTTTTACAACACAAGTTTTTAATGCTGAAATTCAGAGTACGCAATGTGTAGAATGCTACAATAATCTTATTAAGTCTAGTGTTAACCAAACATCGTCTTTAATTAAATTAAATAATGCAATTCAGGAGCGTCTTGATTCAGAAAATAAGTATAGTCATTCTCAAGAAACTATAAACTTTGATCATAATAGCAACTTATAATCAATAAGTAGAATATTATTTTCTAAAATTATTGTAATGTGTGAAAAATACCTTATTCCTCATATAATTGCTGAAATAAAGCAACAAATTTAATAAGTACTTTGGTATAGGTGTTATTCATATAATATTTTACAAGAACATTATGACAATGAACCTGAACTTACTGATGAATGTATTGAAGACAATTATGACTCGCAACAAATATATATTAACTCTATGCTAAACAATATGTTAGATAATAAAATTCAAGAAGCTTGGCATGTAGTTAGACTTACGGGTTCTGCAAATATACACTATATTATTATATTTAAAAATAGTTTATTTTTATGTACATATACTTGGCTAGTTAGTCATGGAATTGTATGCTGGCATTACTTTGCTGTTCTTTTAGAATTAAATGTAGCTATTTTCCATATCTCATTTATAATGCAATGATAGTATAAAGATGCATATTTTAATGAACCAGAAGATACTTTCAATAATATTTTACCAATTCGACCACATAATAATAATCTTAATAGACTCATTACACCAATTCAATCTAATCAAAATATATTATTCAACTAATTTGATCAACTTATCTCTATACGTAAGGCTTCAGGATCTAAAAAACCTAATAAAAAATTCCTACAAGATCGAATACATTATAGTAAAAGTTATAGATTGTTGCAAACCATTCTAACATTAGCAATAGAGATAAAAACTGATGAAGAAGTAAATGATTGGTATCATCAATTTATTCAGCAAAAGAAAGAGCTTCTAAAAGCTAATACTGCGTCAAGTCAAGATTAAGAAAATATTATTTAAATAATTAATTCAAAAATCATGCTAGTTAAAGGCTGACTAAGTAGAAGACAGAAGAGTATACTTAAATGAGAAGCTAAAAAACTATTAAGTACTGATACTACAACATACTTTATATCTCTAAATTGTTAATCTCTATTCTGCTACCAGGAGATGTCCCAATTCATTACTAACTATACTTGCCTAATCACATGTATTATTGTTTACTTTTGAGTTGTTTGTAAACATGTGGTTTTCACTAATTTGAACGTAGTATGGCCTTCAATAGTTACACTAGCTAACG